TCACCGATCCGTTTTTTAAACCATTGGTCTCTACAATTAGTGATGCATGGTGCATCACAGGAACCAAATATCCTACCAACGCGCAGCGCATCACTTTCTGAACCTTGGATCCTATCTAGGATGCCCTGGATTGTTTTCTGGTATATTTTCTATTTGCTAAAACCTAAAATATGGAAATCGTAGGAAAGTTTTCAACGATTAGTTTGGTGCATGGCTCAACTCAACATCCCTACAGTGGTCGTCAAACTATTTATGTATGAAGCCTCAAATCAATTCTCCTCGGATTTGTCCACTAAATGGTTAAATTTTAGATCGATAAAGATAGTGGGCATTAGTCAAATTACGGTTCTAAAAGAGGCGTGATCATTTGAGATCAAAACCTATTTTAAATCCCTAATTTAACTGATCCTCACAACCTTTATCGATCTAAAATTTAACCATTTATTGCCCAAGCAGATTTAATGAGATTTGACTTATAAACAATGATGTTTTGAGTCATCCACAACGCTTGCCATGGGTGGAGCATGGGTGGTTAATTATAGGATAAAACCCAATCCAAGTAGTTTAACATCATACAATTTAAGGCATGTAACAAGGACCATATGTCTCATTGTTTAACATCATGCTACTAAGACGCTTTTGGGGTTTGTACATTGTGATTTTCATCAAATCTATTTGTTTGACAGTTTTAACCATAGTACCCTTTCGTGTTTTCACCACATCTATCTATAAAGTAGGTGCCCATGAAGGATTTCACCTTTCTTCACATATAACTTCTTATTTTGAGAATTTTGCATGTGACGCCTTTTTAGGTTTTAGCCATCTTATCTTTTTTTCCTTTTCTTTCTTTTTTTTTTTTAATTGCTTCCTTTTCTTTTCTTTTGTTTTTTTATTTTATTCCTCCTGGGGAGCTATCCTAATAAGCAATAGGACCATGAGACACCGTATAGTTTTAGGTCTAGTAGCCATAATCACTTTGGTTTTGTTCTAGAGCATGCATAGTTTATGGATAATACTTCTTGAAGAACCATCTAGTTACAAGATGCATCATGTCCAAGGCTTTGTGCCAGGAGATAGGCCCACTAGAATTGCTTTCTTTACCACAAAAGTTCTTTCCCATTTTGGTTCACACTTGCCATGGGGCGTCCAACCGTGAGGACCAACTTCCCTTGTTTGAATGAGCATATTTTAACCTTTTCGTCGAGAACGTATAGGCTTGATAAGCTTCTAAAGTTTACAAGGTTACAATTGGGCCAATTATTGCTTGTGAAGGCCATCTACTAAAAAAAATTTATCCACAATAAAAAAATATGACATGTTTCCAATATTATAAGCAAATAAAAAATGACGTGTTTAAAAAATTAAAAACAAAATGTGACATTTCCATGTGTCAGAACCAGTTAGATTACATCAGAACTCGTTCCATGACGTTCGAACTGTCCAGATCCTGATATATTACAGGATCTAAAACGATCATATTAATTCTTGATCTGAATTGAATGAATCCAAATCAGATTGTAAAATTTTTAAAAACTAGCTTGAACACTTCCTTAACCACCTGAGTTCAAATCTATCGAATCTATCGGTCAAAGACGATCATGACTTCCTTGTATCAGAGTAAATAGTCTCATTATATACATTCCGTTATATTATACCATTCATTTAAGAAATGCAAGCATTGCAATTTGGCAACACGCACTACAGATTCTCCAATTTACGATATAATTGGCAACCGATGATTGGATCAATCATTTTGTGTGTGTGTTTGAGGCGACTTCGATATTCAGATCAAAACAGGTTTTAATTACAGGGCTGGCTCCATGCTATACTTGAGATTAGAAGGAAAAAACAGATTACTAGAACCACCAAACAACTTATTTGCATTCTCTCAACTGTGTATAATACAGACGCACATTCATTACTTGAAAAAACATAACTTCCATCACAATTTTGAACGTAACTTAAGCAATCGCGCATTAGCCATCAAATATTGCTATTCATTGCAAAAGCTGCACAAGGGTGGGGAGCTATGTGCTTTTGGCAGTTGTTTTCAAAGACGAAGCCAAGCTCAACCTGCATAAAAATAAAAAATTTAGCAAATGAACAAAATTTTACACCGAAATAGTCATAAAAAACTAAATGGACACAGACTGTCATAGAAATTCTTTTTCTTCCTCTTTTTTTTAAACAATACGAAGAAGTGTGTTCACCTTATCAATGGCTTACGCGGGGTTTCAGTTGAAGTAGATGAAAAGCCAACCACTGGAGCAGAAAGTTCAGAAGGCTATTATCCAGAAAAAGAAGTGTCTCAATACCATGTTCCTATCACGTATAATAAAAGAATATCACAAATTGATTAAGTCCCTTTAAATGGTAATACAACGACAATGATGGTGGATTTGTTTTTTAGTATGGAAATTTGGGCCATGTGAACCCCAGAAGTTCTGTCATGGCAGTTAAATGTATGAACCCCCTCTGCTCTCACTCTCGGCTGATATGCAAGTAATAATGACTCGAACAAAAAATAACATGTATTTGTCTCTTGTATCCTGTATCCTCTCTCTCTCTGCACGCTTATTTTTGTAAGTCTCTTCAATTCAACGTTTTTTGGTTTCTCTCATTTTTCTTCTTTACTTATTTGTGTAGTGTCTTTTAATCTCATTTCATCGTTGAATTTATATTCTTTTGTGTCTCTATTCATACTGTTACATTTGAACTTCAATTGCATTTATTTTTTTTCAATTCATGTTTCTCATTGAGATTTATTGGTTTTTGTGTCATAACCAAGCAATGGTTCCCACCGGTTTCTTCCATTGTTTACCAATTATGAGGAACACAAGTAAATTTGCAAGTGCGTTACGCTCATATGTGGATGTGCATTTGCATTTGCTAGTATGCATGTCGAGATCGAGAGATCAAGAGATTGAGAGTGTGTGTACTTCGGCACTTCACCGGCCTGACAAGAAAGTAAACGAGAGAAATGACAGAAAATATGCCACTAAATTAGAAGCTGGTACCTCAAGCTCCTCTAAGATCCCATTTTGGAGGCCACTTCCAAGTAACGGAGCAGATTGCGAACACATGCCAAAATTCTTTACAGGAGACGCCTTGACAACCACAGGTTCAGCAAGCCTGCTCCCCAAATCCTCTGGTGAATCCTTCAATTGACCCATTGATCCAAAGTCTTCAAGCTCATCAAGCTCCTCTGGAATGGGTTTCAGGCCATTAGGACCACCACTGGTTATCTTCTCAATGGCAACATTTTCTTCATCTTTTAAGCATGAATTCTGGGTCTCAGAAATTGGTCTAACGGCCAAGCTGACACCACTGAAATCCTTTGTGGGAGATAACCGTCTCAACTTCATTGGTCCATTTTCATTGGTCCATTTTCGACTTCATCCCTTTCAACACCCACACTTGACTTGTCTCCTTGAGCCAGGTCGGGAGCCTTTCGTTTTGAACCAACTTTCTTAACCTCTCCACCAGCAGTTTTCAGAGGGCGAGAAGGCCGAACTCCTCCAGGGAAAACAAAATGGGGTACATTCCTACGCCGTATATGGGAGACCTAGATCAATTAAGCAAACAGATAAGTTCAATTCTTTTTACCCTTTTGGCTTTAGCCTGCCCCTTGACTATCAAACAAAATAAATAAAAAATAAAAAATAAAAAAAATGTTTCAGTTACATCAATTAAACAGAAAATGGAGCTATAGCCTGAGGTCAGGAGACTTGGTTTTAAAAATGAGATAGGGCTCGAACGACAATTATAGGTAATGATACAGGCTATGAGAATTGGTTATAAGTGCTGGTAGCAGTACACATTAGTTCAATCCTTTTTACCCTTTGGGTTTTAGCCTGCCTCTCAACCATCAAACAAACTAGATAAAAAATATATAAAAAATAAGTAAATAAATAGTGTCTTAAAATGCGGGATGCGACCAAAAGCGGTCGAGGGACCGATGCGGTCCGGATATGGGTGCATCGTGATGATGCGGTCAATAAATATAAAAAAATTCTAAAAAATCTAAAAATATAGGTTAATGCATAGAAAAAAAGATGAAGGTGAAGTATGTGATAGTAGTTATTTTAGTTTAATGGTTAACTCCAAAAATATTAGTTGTCGGAGATTCTGTATCCGTTATCCCCTGATACAAACTAAAAACGTGAAACTAGCTTCATAAAACATTCAACAATCGACAACTATAAACACAAATTTACAACTACAAACTTTAAAGTTACAAAATAGTGATACTACAAACCAAACGTCCATGTCTCTATGAAGATTAAAGAGTTTTGAAGTCAAATTCAAGAAGAATTAATAGTTAATACAATCATCCATTCATCATAGAAGTCATCTTGAGAGACAATTTTGAAGTATCAAACAATCACCTAAACTTTGAACCCCCCGATGTCTTGTCACAAATTCACTTAAGCTTCCCCAAATCAACAACCAAAAGGTTCAAATCAAGATCCAAGTATCAAACAATCCCCAAATCCAAGATCTCAATGAAAAACAATTTCTGCCTTTTTTTTTTTTTGGCTCGATTTGATCCTAAAAAAAAACCACGAAAGTGGCCGTAAATGCTCGTTTAGGGGGTTTAATACCCCCAAACTATTTTCCCCAATTTTTCATGGTCAAAAGGCTATTTTGCCCATCCCCGAGGGGCACAATTGAAAATAACATCGCAAAACAGTATGCGACCAGATGCGCTACGTGGCTCTGAAGCGGCGCATATGAGCTCGCATACCTCTAAACCGCATATGCAATCTTTACCGATGCGGTGACCACCGCATACTGCCTAATGCGGTCGCATATGCGGCGATGCGGCTGCATTTTAAAACGCTGTAAATAAATGGTTTAGTTGCATTGACTAAACAGAAAATGGAGCTAAGGCCTGACATTAGGAGACTTGGTTTTGGACAAGAGATAGGGTGGTACTGACACAGGTTACGAGGATCAGTAATAAGTGCCGGTGGTAGCACACAAGGTTTAAAGAGTGCTTTTCAGGGGGGAAACAATATTGAAATGATTACTAGAAAGAAAAGTTTTAACATGTTTCAATGCCATTGGTACATCAAGTGTTGTCACAGTTTCAGAAATAACATCCGTTGATTAATAGATACACATTGCATGGTAAATTACACAATTTTTTTTTTAGTTGAAATTGTTCACAATAAATTACCGATATATACAATAAATTACACTATTTTTTAACAATTAACTTTCAAATTAATTGCACTACATATACAAGGAAATAATGTACAAATCCACTAAGAGATGTAAATTAAAAAAGAAATGAATAGGGTTTGCATCTCCAACTGCATAGAACATTTGTACACGTTTCTATGATACAACACTGAGTTTCTGCTGCATTCATATGCATTTCTAATAACTATTGTAAACATTTCAAATAGGCCAGAAATCAGTAATATTTTCCCAGAAACACCCATAATACGGTTTTATACCAATACCTGAGGAGGGTATATGCACAATCAGTTGCAAACCTGAGAGGGGTGCTGGTTAACTATGGTTGGAATTTAGTTTACCACAAAGGTAACGAGCCAAAGAGCAAAACCAATATTTTTCTTTTGGTTAGGAAACAACAAAAATAATATGTATAGAACAGAATTTGAAAACATGGACTCAGGCTCGGTCCTGAACCTCAGACTACCACTGACTCGGCCAAGTCGGACATTCCGAGTTGGCCGAATCAAGTAAAAAACATGGACTTGGTAAGACACCAGATTTGTGCTCTTTTTCGTCCCCCAGCAAAGGTAGTTGGTCCAAGTGACTCAGGCAAGTCCAAGTCCCAGTCAGCAGTTTTTCAATCACTATTCTAGAAAAATGATATGTGAGCCTCACCTGGATATCCATTCCAGGTTTCCAAAGAGTATACATTCCTACAGAGTGTTTAAATTCTTCAACAGTGGCCCTGATATCAAACTGCTCGCCTTCAAGAATAGGCACTCCTTTCTTGCGCTGTAGACCCATGAAGTAACAGCAATGGAACGTTCTGGATTTGTCTGAAAAGTCATTTGGGTGTGGGTGACATTGAAGCATCCGAAATGTGTCCCTCTCGATCTGTTATTGACTTAAAAATATCGACTACATGAGAGCCATGAAAGGAAGACAATGAACGCAACGAATAAGCAAAGAATCAAGGAGCCACCACACCTTAAGCGTAAGTTGGCGTAGCCGAGACTCAACCCAACCCTTCCACTTCCGAAGGTCGTCTTCATTTTCTGCTGTGACGTCAATCTCCAGATAATTTTTGTATGCTTCAAAGAATGGGTAAGGCTCAAAAAGAGTACTCCAGTCACATTTGTTAATCTCCATGGCCTGCAGGGAATTCCCCACATCAAATCCTTCTCTCAATGCCTCTCTCTCGTTCTCTCTCTCTCATCTCACTAACCAGTAATAAACATACAAAAACGAAAAATGTACATATCGGGCATCAAATTCCAGTGAGGTAAGGCAGTGGAAGCTCCAATAATTCTTAAACTACTAAATTGAAGGGCTTAAATTATCAAACCATACAAAAGAAGCAACATACAAGGAAAGCAAAACTAGCAAGAAAGAGGCTCCTGATAAACCAGAGTTATTTTTTCGTCCTCATGTATCTATCGAGTAGAGAATTACTCACTCGAAATTAACTAGTAAACTATTGTAACAAGAATCAGACTCAGAGATCATCCTATAAGCATAAAAGCCAGAGAATATTATCAATCAAAAAACATAGTTAGTAGCTTAAATGGACACATACGCACACAAAATCACTGGTAGAAGTAGTTAAGAATTTCCAGTGGTGGGACATGCGAAATCAGATTCTGTAATAAGTCCTAACCTCATTTTTCTAATGAAAAACTACTGGGGACTTAGAAAGACATTCATGGAAACTCATGATCAGTCTCATAGTAAGAGAAAATCTCAACAAACATGATTTGCTGATTTCAATGCTACCATTTTAATCACCCTAAGGTGAAGTGCTAATAATTAGTTCAATTCAGTGTCATTGCGTTATTCACACTTTCAGCAAGGAAAAGAATACCTTCTAATGGCACTTTCCTAAAACATAACTTAAAGAAAAAAAAGAATGTGCTACAAACCTCACAAATTTCGTTTCCACGCTGAAACTCTTCCATCATGACTCGTAGAGTACTCGAAGATACATTGTAGCTTGAGTTCATACAAGGATATGCAGGTGTGATTATAGGCATTTGATGAAGCTTGTCTCTAGGATTTTTTCTTGGATCCCAAACCGGAAGGCCCAAAGTACCCTCCTCAATTGCACACAGCATCACAGGATTTGGCCACCGCCATTGGGTGTAAACACGGAAGAAGCGTGAAACCAACATACTTGGTAAGGCATTTGGGTATAGCTGGCAAATTCGGGCAACAAGCAATGCCCAATTAATGCCACCAAGGAATCCTGCCACCTGTTCAAGAACACAAAGATGGCAATCCCACCAAGATTCAAATTCTTGGATTCCAAATAATCTTGTGATCCAAAACAAGGCCTTCAAGCGCTTGTTTCTTGGTTGAAAAAATAGACGGAAAAAGGACCAAAATCGAAACTGCATCCACTATCAAATTTCAGCCAAAATCATCTCAATTTGAGAAAATGCCAAAAAAAGCCCACAACGTTTTCAAATTCGGTTGATTTATCCAGATAAAAATGTGTTATCAGTTTGAGCTAGTATATAGCAAAGATGGCGGCAAATGATTTTGACCAAGTTCTAAAATTTGCGGAAGCCACTTCACAGAGCAAAACTTACATTTGAATAAACACCACGGCGTTTAGCCCAAAACCTCATGCATCTCAAAGTTGTACGGAAACTCTGTTTAGATACAAAGGAAAGAACCAGTATCATTGTCTCCAAGTATATTCCACGCATTAATTTGTGCACTAAAGCAGAAATTTTATCACATGCTTGTACTATTACAAATACGACATAATATTTGTCCTTGCATTCTGCTCTGAACCGCACCTTTTCTCACATGCTTGTATTCTTATAAATTGGCACAATACACAAATGAAAAATCGATAAAAATTGAACCTGGATATTTGGCACCAAACGCAGGATCTGATCAGTGACTCTGCAACCATTGAGGCTACGAACTGTCTGCTCATCTGCATTCTGAAGTATTGAGTCCTGAGAGATATCTAAGTCCTGCACCAAGCAATCAAATTCAAGAAGAAGATTCATAAAGAATTCTTTCAAGGAATGGCCACAGGAAAAAAAAACTAAAGCAATTATGATACATGAAATATGATGTTAATTACAAAGCAAACTTGCTTCATCACTTAACCCCAATTGTACAAGTAGATAAAGTTTGCAGGGTTGCATAAGTTCATAGGATGTTATTCCTTAGATGTGTGGAAATATTGTTATTAAAATTACAGTAAGGTTGTTTGAAAAGCAAGAACAGTTACATACATACACATATACATACATATATATATATATATATATATATATATATATACTACCA